TGCTTGAAATGTTATTGAAACTTCAACGGAAATCACAGAGGTCATAAACTGAAATCAAATACCCCGCTAAATTTTGATGTGAACCCAATCGATAAAGAAGATTTCTTCTGTCAGTAGTGAAAATTAGAGTTTAGTTTTTATTGCAGCCGCTGAAATTAGCGACAAATAGCATTCTGCAGACGTAAATGTAAGTTTCCAATCTATACCGTCTGTGATCTGTGCATTAACCTGTCGCCCTTTGACAGACGCCATATGTTGTCAAGCGAATTTTTCAACAACACAACCGTAAAATTTATAAACACAGCTTTTAATACTAATCTAAGACAATACCATATGAGTATACCGCTGCTAGTTAGCTATTTAGCAATGTAGCGACAACTCAACCATCAGTGCACCGAATTTTTGGATGTTTATTTGTGAAATTGTGCTAGAATCATGACCTCCTTTTAATTCGCACATCCCCTAACGTTCTCTTCGCTTGTACCACTCTAAGTCAACATTGAACCGGCGATCTTAGATAGTAAAGTTGTGCATCTTTGCTTCACAACCAAAATGGTAAGTTTATATACCCTGGAAACATGCCCTTACGTGAGCAGTTGTTTGAGCCCTCTTACTGTTTCAGCAAGCTGACGATCCTCCGTACTTACCAGTTGGTACAGCAGTGAGTGCCAAGTACAAGGGAGCCTTTTGCGAAGCCAAAGTCAGCAAAGTGGACCGCATTGTGAAATGCAAGGTTAGACCATAGGCCTGGAGCAGGAACATCCGTATTGATTGTGCTGGTTTTCCTTAGGTGACGTTCAAAAGCGGGCTGGGAGCTGCCACAGTGTCGGATAATGAAATAAAGGGCACCCTGAGAGTGGGGCAACAGGTTCTGGTGAAGCACAACGATCATAAGGAACTGGTGGAGGCCACTATCACTAAAATACAAGATTGCAGCCAATATACAGTTGGTTAGTACTTGACGGTTTCTTGAGTATTACTCAGTTGAGTTGAGTGTGTTTGTGTGTGCAGTTTTTGATGACGGCGACATCACCACCTTAAGACGGACTGCACTTTGCCTGAAGAGCGGCAGACATTTTAATGAGAGCGAAACGTTGGACCAGCTCCCGCTAACCCATCCAGAGCACTTCGGTATCCCTGTAATGGGCGGCCGCAGAGGCAGGAGAAATCGGCTGCTTAAGTACTGTTCCAAATCCGTTTCTTGTCTTTGAGGTAAGTCATATCATTTTGTAGAGACGAGAGCAGTGATGACGAAATTGAGGAGGAAAACGAGCCAGATTTGGAGGGATACACGCAAGATATTGGCCGAGTTGTCAGTGTGGAAACTGGCGAAACGAAGCGCGGCAAGGAAAAGTGGTTCCCCGGTTTGATTGTCATCCCCTCTGCCCAACCAACTGTGAAAATCAACGTCAAAGATGAGTTTCTCATCAGATCTTTCCGGGATGATCGATAGTAAGCCTTTAAGGCAACAAGCACGAACTTGCAATTAATTTCCCTCCCTCTGACAGCTACACAGTTCCGAAAAAAGAGGTCAGCGAGTTTAACAAGGAGCTAAGTGAGCGCATCGAGAGCTCAGGTCTTGCCGAAGCTATCCAGAAGGCGAACAAATTCCTGAACGGCAACGATTTGCCGCTACATTGGGAGAAAAGCTCGCTCTTCAACCTGTCAGTGGACAGCGACAGCGACGACAACGCAAGCGACGTAAGCCTAGTTTAGTGCTCATTTCATCAAATAGAACCAGCGAACTTTCAGACTTCCGACGAGGAACAAAGCGAAGAAAAGGACCGATTTGTGGCTCAGCTGTACAAGTACATGGACGATTCCGGAACCCCTTTGAACAAGACACCGACGATATCCAGCAAGGACATTGATCTGCATCGTCTGTTCCGAGTGGTGCATAAAATGGGCGGCTGCAATCGTGTGACCAATCAAAACAAGTGGAAATCGGTGGCGACCAGAATGAAGCTCACAGTGAACCAGAATGTTTCCAATCAAGTCAAGTCAGTGTATAAAAAATGCCTACTGAGCTACGAGGGATTTTTTCGCACACTGGGTGTCACAATGTCGAACCCCACTCGCCCGACCAAGAAGGACAAAGGCAGAAGCTTGATTAGAGACAAAGATAGGACACCGAGTAAGTGTGGATTAATCTGTTAAACATGAATTAGAAGATCTTATTGTAAAACTAAATCGAGCCCTTTTCTCAAGTAAATCAAATTCCAGTGAGCAGCCCTAGGCCAGAACGAGAAGACGATATGCCCGAGAAGCTAGTGGAACGGAAGAGCACCCCATTACCGGAGATCCGAACCAAAAAGAAGTCCGAATCCAAGGAAAAGGATGTCGTGCCGAAAAAACCGAAATCTGAACCTCGCGATCCTGGCAGCGACTTCTCAGACACGCCCAGCACATCGGGGATGCGCTCCAAACGGCAAGACGTCAAAGTGTCCAAGGAAAAGAAAATCAAAACGCCGCAAGGCGAGAAAATCAAGATGCCGATGGAGAAGTTTGAGGACTATCCGAAGAAAGAGGAAAAGGTGCAATTCACACGCTCTAAATCCTCCAGCAGCTCCAGCTCCGCGTCCAAGCTGAAAGATGTGCCGAAAGAAGTCACCCTCACTAGACCTAGCAAGGAATCGCCCGCAAAATGTTTACCCAAATCGCCGAAGAAAGGGATCAAAGAAGAGGAGGTAACCCGAGAATAAGCTGTCTGATTCAGTGAAAAACTAGCTAAGTTTCAGGGAGTACAAGACAAGGACAAGAAGCCAAAGATCAAGAAGGCTTCAGAGATCCTTATCGAACCCCACCAAACAGCCAATATTGGGGACAAACTGATCGTCTACTACGGACCTACTAACGAGTCCAAAGTCACCTACGAAGCTAAAGTGGTGGACATGGATAAGGACCAAACAGGGCCCATTTACTTGGTGCATTACACAGGCTGGAATACCAGGCAAGAACAACGGTTTTTCCTCAGACGGGTAAAACAGTAGCTGGATACTTATGTAATTCATGTTTCGTCCCTCACCAGATACGATGAATGGATTCCAGCTTGTCGCGTAGCTGAAAACCTTAGTTCTGGCGCAAAGTCGAAAAGAAGCAAAGTTCCAGCTCCAGTCAATGTAAAGCCGGGCTCTTCAGGCGGTCCATCAGCATCTTTCCCCAAGTTGCCATCAACGAAGAGAAATCGCCTTACTTCGGTGTCCAGCAGAGAGGAGAAGCCTCCCCGATCCACCACTCCATCGAGCGGAGCTTCTTCGAGCAGCACGTCGAAAAGCCCCGCCACGTGCACAGTGCGCTCGAGTCGTCTGGCGGCAAAACAAGGTAGCAAAATTTTGATTACCAACAACAAGTTTCCACGAGCTTTGTCTGTGCTGCAGAGGCAAAGAAGCGGCGAATTTCTGGTCAAACGGACGCCTTTCTCCCGTCGGAATCGGACAGCGACAGTTGCGAAAGCGAAGCAGAACTGCCCAGAACGCGAAGCGGCAGCCTCAAAACCGAAGACGCAGACCTCAGAGTGTACCGGAAGAGACAATCGCGTTCCACACCAACGGTGAGTTTTTCTCTCTTTGCTCTAACAATCCTTATCTTGGGGTTGGTTACAGTCACGGCAGCAGAAGCGCAAGGAGGACGGCAACAAGGACGAACCGTCCAGAAAGAAAGCCAAGAAGTACTCAGCAGGTGAAAGCGACGAGGAGGAGGAGAGTCTGCGCCATCCGAGAGGACGGGACTTTGATTTGAACGAAATTCGCAATGAGCTCAAGGGAATTTCGCAGGCAATTAAGCCTCCGTCTGCGGCTGGCGCTGACAAGGACGCTGTCCCGTCTGAGGAGGGTTTCGACAAGGTCCAATCGATTAAAGAGGAGCTGATCGACGTTAAGGTACTAAATGTAGGGCTTTCAATCACAAGCGCGTGATTTGCAGTTCACTGAAGGAAAACCCTACATAATGGTTTATGAGCAAAGATGCACCGGGGTGTTATTTTGACACTAGTCGCGACTTCCACAACAATTAACTCTAATGAGCGTTTGATTAGGTTGAGGAAGATCCAACGCCGAAACTGTCGCCCAAGGCTGCCACTTTAGAGCCTTCGTGCAGCTCTGAAGACATTTACGAGTTCAAGGAACCGGAACCGTTTGAATTCGAAGCCAGAGCGAAGCTGGGCGATGATAAAACGTCGAAAAAGCGACTGCCTCGGTTATTCGAGCCATTGGAGGACAAATCCCCTAGAAAAAGAACTGGGGCACTTTCCCCACTCTCTCCTGGTGAGTGTTAAGGCTGGGGATTTTTAATTGCAATGTAAACAAAATGAACCAGTTGCAGGCAAAAGCGACAAACTGGATCATCCAGAGCCCAGGACGTACTCGCGTGCTCCGAAGAAAATGATGCTTTCCGATGATGAGGACGAAGACGAAGACATAATGGATGAGGAGGGTATAGCTATGAGCGACATCAATGAAGACCCGTTCGATAAGCTGATTGAGTCGCCGAGTTTCAACTTGAGCAAGACCGGATTGGAGCCGGTTGTTGAAAAGCCCGTGGTTGGTTTTTTAGGAGAAAGGTCGAACAAATTCAAATCGAAATTCTCTCACTACTTGCAGGCTCTGTTCGCTGAGACCTCAGCTGAGCTGTTCAAAGAGCCGGGAGAAACGTCGGATGAGTACAGCCGCGACATGGAGCTGTCGGACTGCGAGTCTCAAACCCAGATCTACAGCCGCGGTGTCTACAACTTGTTCACCGGGACATTTTCCAAGTCGCCCAATGAGAGAAACACTCCTGACTTTGCCAGCAGCAAAACCGATGAAGGTGAGTGACCAAGCCAGATGCGGTAGATGTAGCTAAGCTGTTGAACTTGCGAACTGCAGGAAAAACGACGAACAGTGACGACGACGAGATTCAAGCTCAAATTCAAAGGGCGATTGATCAGAGCTCGTCAACAGACGATGATAGCAGCAGCGTTCTCATAGATATTCCCTTAGCAGCCAGCAGTTCGCCGAAAACTCTTGAAGATCCATCCACTAGCAGCAGCAGCATTGTTCCGGCTTTAAGTCTGTCGGCCGCCGTTTCGGTGATTGCGCCCTCATTATCAATCCGAGTGCATGAGATGGACGACGTTATTCCGGAACCGCCCAATCAGGTAAGGAAATTAAAATTTGAAAAAGTATCTCCAACGTGCGTCGCCATAGGAGCCTATCGAAGCGCCTGCGCCACCGCCACCATCTGCACCTTCTCCCGGGCCAGTGGCAGATTCAAAGCCTCATTCCCCTAAGAAGCCCATCGATCCAGCGCTTCAAGAAACCGACAGCTCTTTGTTAGAGTCCATCGTTTCGAAGCCCCCGTTGATTCTCAATCCAATGCTAGACGACACTGGCAAGGAGCTGACGGTGAAAACTGGCACCCGAATCGCCGACTCAATTCTGCAGAAATTCAACTTCATCAAGAACAACATAGAGACGAAGGGGTCAAAAGTAGAATCGGCGGTGCCCCTTCAGATCAGCGCCATTGAGAAGCTGGAGACTCGTACAACTTTGTCCAATCCTGGCGCGTGGAAACAGGATGCTGACGAAGCCGGACCGTCCACCTCCGAAGTGAAAGAGAGCGAGGACGAGCCGGAGGAGGACCCCAGGGTTAAGCCCGACGCGCTGCCGCGTCGCCATAGAGGGGCGCTCAGCAAGGCCATTGTCGAAGATTCGGACAGCGATAGCAGCGACTCGGAGAACCTGGTGATCCGGTCCGAAGATGAAGACGACGACGACGACGACGACGACTCGCAAACCAATTCTTCCGACAACAAGCCGCTGATCGAGTGCAAGAACACGGACAGCAACATGTCTTCTTTGCAGAAAACCCTCACCACGACCGATGAGTCCCAATCCCAATCCCAACCCCCAGAGGAGGAGAAGCGGAACTTCAGTTTCGATTCGCCACGAGAAGTGCCTGAAGAGGAGGAGGAAGTTGCGGTGGGGGAAGAGGACGAGGCGCACCCAGTCCCCGAAAAGAAACCGGAGCCTCCTTTGGAGGTGAAGGAGGACGATCAAAACTTGCTCTGTCTGGAGGTGCTGCCTAGGAGTCCCGCTTCGGTTCCAGATTTTCCTGGACCCAGTGAAGCCCCCAGTACGTCATCGGTAAGTCAAACTCACAAATTACTGAAGAGTTTTCTGTATGAAACACGTTCAGTCGCCATGTTGTTTCAATATCTCTTATTTTTCATTAATTTAAGTGTCTAAATTCTTTTTAAGGTACACGAGATGCCATTTGCTAGCGCTCCAGGCTCAAGCAACAGCAAGATATTGCTGGAAACAAAAAAGCACCAACCGCCACCTTTGCTGTTCGCGGCAGAGCGCGGAAACAGAGCGGACGCGCCTGCCACGCTTGAGAATTCGGCCCCCACAACCCCAGAGAGCACCATCAGCAATCTGTCGCCTAGAGGGTGAGTCCATGAAAATAACCCAAAAAACGACCCGCTTCAAGCGCGCTTTGTTTCCCTCTAGGGAAAATGGTACCGCTTCGCCTAATTCGAACGACAGTAAGTCGAATGAGGGCGAACCAGGCTATGGAGAGCAGCGAAGAAGCGCCGGCTTGAAAGTTTCCCACTATTGCGAAGAAGGTAAGCAGTAGCAGCAAAGTAAGCAGCTGGACAGAATGGTTGATGGCTGATGTTTTAGATGCGCAACCAGGCAGCGACGTATCAACGTCCAGGAAAGCGACTGATTCGTTCGGACCGCCGATGGTACACCGAAAACGACGTCGGTCGTTGCGCAATTCTGAAGACGGATGTTCCGGTGTCGCGGTGCTAACAGGCAAACGAGGCCGAAAGCCGCGGCAGCGTCGCGACAGCGACAGCGACGACGCTTCGGAAAGTTCCATGGCCGGAAGCGGCACGGGCGGTACTACGCCCGGAAGTACCACGTCCATGTACGATCGATCGGCACGGTCGCCACGACCTTCCAAATACAACTTCTTTGTCGAATTTGGTAAGTTCTAATGAGAAACGAGCGTGGAAATTGGAGGTTGAGCGCTGTTTGCTTTTAGACCCCAGCCTGGACAGCAGCCAGAGAATCGCAGTGCTGCAGCAGAAGCTCTCTGAGCTGCGCAAAACTTATGCAGACGTCAAGGCGGAACTGGCCACCGTAGAGCGAAGAAGGAAGAAGCTCCGGAGACGAGAAAGGGAAGGTTAGATGGCATTTAGAAAGTCAGAGAAAGAATGAAAAATAAATACTCTAAAATGTGTTTTAGCTTTGAAGACTGCCAAACAGGAGCTGGCCTGCACGTGACAAAAGGGCGGAAAAGTAGCGATCGACGTGGCTCTAGAATGAAAGAGAGTCTGGAGAACAGGGATGGGAACCGTTTTTTCCTTCAGCTGTATTTACAATTTACATTACCATGTAAAGGCCTGGTGTTATGTACATAGATTAATGTGAAATTATTAAGTTTTGTTTTCATTTCCTAAAATCTGATAGTCGGCATAGATAACAACCGAATCGAGCATTTTTGGGTTTCGGTTGTTATCTTGATTGATACACTATTGGAGCGCCAGTAATCGTAAATGTGGTCTTCGTATCGTTTTACGAACGCAATTGAAGGCTGGCAAATAAAACAGATTAAAGTAGTAAAGGGAGGTTTTGTTGTAGATTTTTTTCCGTTTTATAAAATGACCAAGGCTTTTGCTCGAATGTTCGAACAATGAAGCCAACACACCTTTGAAGATGCTAGCCATGCGTGCTAACGAAACGTCAGGATCAAATTCTTATCAGCGGCGGCATAAAAATATCCCCTTGTTCTATTGAAGATTGTTAAAATTAATTGAAAATCAGGTATAGCAGGAAATATAGTCTGTTTTGACAGTGACGGATTATAGCTTATTTTTCAGTGCAAAATAGTGTTCACTTCAGTGTTCGACCATGGTATTTTTCTGACGTTGATCATCTGTGAAGCATCTGGTTGACGGGAGAGAAAAAACACTGATGGCCGATTGAACTAGGTTTTAATACTTACTTTGTTCGATCCACTGCTTGCATGTGAGGAGCCTAAAAATTTAAAAAAAAAACATTATTTTGAACACGTGTATGTTCAGTTGTCTACAAGATGAAAGTGATCGATCAGTTTGGAAAGGAAACTCGTTGCAGTTGTGATTACCTAATTTAAAAAATCCTAAAGAGAAAAGTATGCAGCGCACAGCGGACGTTTGTTTAAGCGGAAAATAAAGTCAGACGTCTTTTGGATGTTGGTGTAACATTTCCGAGATACAAACGCTATTTAACCGCTTCCAAATGCAGGAGCAAACAAACAAAAAAGATCGAAATAATCCTCCAATCAATGTGGTACATTTAACATCCAGCAGAACTATTTGAAGGGTGGTTTTTCTGAAACTCAAACCGTTGCTTTCGTTCAAAAAACGTCTGAGCGCTACCAGGCATGGGAAGCAAAGGGTGCCCATGAAGAGATTCTTCGAAGAAAAAATTCGTCAAACAAGTTTCAGTGCGCTCAACAACGTCCATCGCATCGCCCCTCTTCGTTCATCCTGTTCAACAAAACCGCTACGTGGAATTCTAAAAATACCGCCGCATCGATCCGAGCGCCTCGTGTGTTTCAGCTCCATTTTCATTTTTTTGTATTTTTAACCGCCCCGCAGTTTTTCCCTGTGGAATCCCCCATCCGAAGAAGATCCCAAGGGATTTATTTAGCGAGTCCACGACATCTATTCCTCATCTTCTTCCATTGCGTGAAGATTATTTCGACTAGTAGGCCAGTCTCTACATGGTCGGCTCACTGAATCAGCCAATAGCAGCGTGTTCGCTGTTCCAAAGCATGTTGCGATTGGGCCGAATGCGTGCAACGCTCAGCGAAAATAGTACAGGGTGACTCAATCCCAATGGCAAAAGTCCACTGAGATACGGGCGTATTTTTAAAATATTGTACAAATAAGATAAGACGCGCATTTGGAGCGTCTTAGCGCGACGCGATAACGGTTTTGAAATATGTGTGGCAAACGTTCGTCCCAATTTCCGAACACAAACTTACATTTGTTATTTTTTTCTTTTCTTTGGCGCTCTACACCCAATCACGGGAGGGATTTTGGGTGGATGTAAATGGGGAAACACCGCCAACATTCTTCAAAACGTTTCGGTTACCACTCACTGTCATCGCTGCACAAATTTTTATTTGGGCCACTCGTTGATTTGCGATTCTTAACTAGCAATTTTCAGTTGATTTCTGACATGTCACTGTGACTTTGACGCAATTGCAATAAATAGTGACACAACTTTGACATTTTCGACTCAATAAAATGAAATGTTCGCGACATTTTGAGAACGATATTATTAACGTCAGCCAATGAATTTTGTTCGATTTAACTTGATCCAATTGATAAATTAAAGCGTTTTTTTGAGACTTTTCGATACAATAAACTACTTTGTTGATCACGTCCTTTCTACATTTTCCAGTCTTCTATTGACTGAAAGAAATCCAATTTATACAGGGTGATTAAGATGTTTTAAGTAATATGTTTGAAAAAAAAGTTCATATCAAACACAACACTGACAAGGTGATGTGAACCTTAATAAAATAAAGCCGCCATACAACATCAATTGTACGTTAGTCGACCGAGGAAACTTTGGCTTTTGCGCTTGAAGACAACATGCATTTAACATATGAAAGATGCTTACTTAACTGGCTTTTAAAAAGGAAAATCGAAATCATCATTTACAAGCATTAACGTTCATTTTACATCACGATAAGCATTTAGGAGACAAACGTCAATTTCTGTTCCTTTGTCGCAATTATTCCAGTAAATTAGTTGATTTCCATTAAACAGTCAGTGTCACAATCTGGATGACAGTGGTCCGGTAAAAAATTGACTTTTGTTGATGGAAGGCAACATCTAAAAAAAAACTTAAATGGCATTCATCATTAACTAGCTTTAAACGTTCATTTTACATCGCGATAAGCATCCATGTTTTTGACATTCCGAAACATTTAGCGGCTTTGTGAGACAGATGTCAAATTGTGACTGTCGCAATTATTCAAGTTGACAATATGGTTGACAGTGATATGTCGAAAAAAACAGTAGATTAGGCGCCATAATAAGCAGCAATTATGAAAACTTGTTGACAGGACTGGTAGAAGTTAATCCGCAAAGTCTCCGCTGCCGGAAGTAACAACCGGCACGCATTCGATTCTTTTAATTTGAACTCGATCCCCTTTATCCGATCCGAAAAATCGGTTGTCATCAAATGACAGCTAGTGGAAGACGGGGGCAAAAAAAACTTGTCACGTCAAGTGACATTTAAGTCGAACCCAAAGGCATTAATGGTCGCGAATTTTGATTATCTTATTTCCATTATTATGCTTGAAATACAGAGTAGAAGTTTCGAAATTATCCATTCCATGGTTATATGTAACTAGCGAAGCGGGCCATCGAAGCGATTGACCTGGTCGCCTTTGTTTGTCCGACCCTCGGCTACAATACGCGACTGGGCGACTGCAGAGAGAAATAGACTGGAGGGTCGCTTGTGTTGTAGCTTTCCGTGAAAGCAGCACAGTGTAGCCGAGCAGTGTGCTGTGGACTAATGACGTCAGGTGAGTGGGATGGAGCAACGCGGCAGTGGCGGGTGTGAGCAAGACAACGCGACAAGAAACTTATTAGAGTAGGGAGAACGAACGACCCAACCTAACCAGACCCCGGCCCGTCCAACAATCGATCCGAATGCCGGAATAGACAGAGAGAGCGCTATGTTTTATGCATGGTTTTGAATTGTGGACGGGCCGGCAAACGGCTGAGTCACAGTAATTGATAATAACTTAGGCATTGCTCTTTGCTATTAGGATGAAAACTGAATTGGACTGAAAAGCGGCACAAAACCACTTCTTCAGCGGAGCCGCTCAGTTTCCCGGACCTCGATGGACATGTTCCCTTTACTTTTATGGACAAATAGGCCTCATTTCGCCCGTTGTCGCCGCACAATCTGCAAATTACCATTTTTTATTTATGTGTTGGGATTGGTGCGCGTTAGCAGTACCGATGTCTCAACTCGACCAAGCACCAATCTTTTTTTCCCATCCATCCCGTATTTTCCCCATGGACAATTACCATAGCAACCACCTCTAATCACAACAAATTTCCTGCCACAGTGACAGTCAGGATTTTGCGATTTTTACCGAAAACCATATCAATACCTTCTTCTGTATGTACATAAACACTGAAGGTTTTTTCCAGCCAATTATATCTACTATACCTAGGTATCCGTAGATAGATGGCATAATAATAACCGAATCAAAGCCGCAGTAGGTGAGCTGGAATCGAGCCTAGCCTTCCGTACAAGGGAAGATCGAAAATGTGTACGTTAATCGTTAATTAAAACCCAAAGTGCGACTCCTGCTAAAAACTCGCGGGGCACGCCACTGGACGCAATACAACTGCAATTACTCAGTTATATGATAGATTGATAGCCTTTTTTGAATTTGTAGCCGACCCCTTAAGTACGCTACTGGTCACCGTTCAGTATAAGAACAACGTGTGACATCTTCAAGGTATTCCTTTCTTCCCTTTTCTGGAAGGAAATAGAAAAGTCAGAAAATGGGAGCCTCCAATCCTTACACACTACAAAATTTATTGGTCGGCCGTTGACGTTAACAATGTTGTTGTTCAAATGACATTTGTTGCGCTGTGCAAATGGAACATTTGTGCCATAATGTTATGAGTTCATTATCTACGTCACAATTAAAGCATGTTTGAAACAATAGTTGTTGGAATGTAGGTTTTTTTTGGATTTTAAGGCGGTCAGAGTCGTCAAACAAAGCTGTCAAGATGTCAAACATGCGTGCTAGCGAAACTTCAGAACCAAATTTTGATCGACGACGGCGGAAAAGCTCCAAAAATCCTGTTAGAAACTATGATCGTGAAAGTTCTTGTTTGAGAGAAATCAAAACGTCTCATTTCCTACATTTCATTAAGAATTCTACGCGAGTTTTGTGAGGAAAGGCTTTTTTCATCTAACAATAGAGTAAAATATTCATCCTGGAAATAGTCTAACAGACCTAAATCCGATAATCGTCTAGACGTTTCTGAGCAAGATTAGTCCACATATTGCGAAAATGTGCTCAAATTAAGTGGATCTGAGTCCGCGGGCTCTGCCGGCCTCATCTATGAAGCTCTTCTACTTAATCAGAATCGAACTGTCTGCCTATTCGTCATTCTTATCTAAGGTATCTTTAAAGCGGTTTTCAGTCGGAAATTACGCATCCAAATCCAAACAAATTCATTTGGTTCCAAATTGGCGGCAGTTATCGAGGGACCTTCTCAATTCATTAAAGTTGCGTGCCTCTTAGATTGCGTCGATAAAAATCGCGCTTTACTTAACCACGCTAGACCAAGAGGGCGCTATGATCCAATCTAATATTTTTTATCGGATTTTCCCCACTGGAAGGGCGACACTCCAGTTAGCTGGTTGGGGTCGTGGGGAGGGGACTAAACACCGACTTGTGTAGCATTGGAAGGGCGTCGCAAAACTTTCTTTATATTTTGATCACTCAAAGCAGATTCAAGTCTTCTCAGATGTGGTGGCTGGTCTTCTGAGGCCTGCCATTGTGACATGTATTACTGATCCTGATTGGTCATTGAATGTTTTTTTTTAATGGAACTTACGAATGAATTGATAGTGAATATCAGATCGTATAAATATACAATCGCACGTAAAATAGCCGCAATTTTTCAAACTCGTAAATTGAAATTTCATTCATCCGAATTACCGATCTAAAACGTATGAATGAAATGCTGCCAATATTTATTTACAATTATTTATACGGTTTATAAATAGGAAAAGTCGTCCGGGCCACTGTTGTTGGTTGGAAAGCTCATTAAGATACACCGGGCTCATAAAACGCCGAAAATTGATTTGAATGAACACCACTCTAATTTAATTGTTTATTTGTTTTTTCTTTGCTGTTTACTCATACGACAGAATGAAGGCGGTTTGTCAAGAAATGTCACCTTTTGATGTTAATTATACTTGTCATCAATCAGGTTGATTTTGATTGATTATTTCGTTACTTGAAAGAAATTATGTGAATTTTAAGTGTTTTCCCTACAAGCAAAGCGCGCCTTTTCCCCAACAACTTGCCCGTTTTTTAACCTAACCTTTCGGACTTTCGGAGTGGGTATAGATGCAGGTGGGCCGAGCAGAGCCGAAGCGGCCGAGCAGTGCCGACACATTGAGACCGGTCTTGGCGGCTTGAAGCATTTTGGTTCGAGCGTTAGTTCGCAGCGGTTCGTGTTCTGATCGTTCCGTTCGTGCGTTACTCGGCTTTTTTGACTTGGTGCGAACTCTGGTGTGTTTGTTTCAATTTCGTGAAATGTTTCAGCAGGCACCAATGTCATTGGACTTGTCAAATTAACTATGTGGTTTGACAAACAGGTGAGTGCCAGTATTACAATTTATCTCAGTTTTTTGAGTTTTTTTGCTTCCCGGGTAAGGGAGCCCTTTCCCAACCCATCTTGAGGGTTGTCACGGAGTTTCCGGTCGCTTTTCAGTCACGAATTGCGTCTGGTACTCCTTTGCAGACTCGACATGTGGTTTTGTTTTGAAACAACCGGAGCAGTGTGCATTAAAATGGTTTTATTCGCGGTCGGCCAGTGGAGCTGAGCGGGTGACTGTGTTGGCGCCAGGCCTCGTCACGTGCAACATTTCGCTGACCGATTGCCGAGATCAGTTCTCAAAGGTTGGGTGGGGGGATCGGCGCCACCGATCTTAAATAAATCAGCGCCCATTTCTTAATGGTTATCTGGACGATGGGGTTTTACATACGCCATCATCGGTATTTTCTAATTAGTGGTGCAAAATGAGTGAAAATCAAAACACCCAAGCAACCAGTAAAATACTCTGTATAGGCACGTTACGCCCACCGTTTCCATGGCGACCCACCAACGCAAAGCCGCCTTATGATTGCGCTTGCTATAGCCCCCCCCCCCTTCCTCAATCGATAAATAACGTTGTTGTAATGTCGATGCGTTTACCTGGATTATTAGATCTCGTTATTAATTACCTACTCATGGACGGTCAATCCAGAAAATGCGATTTTGTCCTACGGAATTGACAGGATCCAGATCTGGTGTACGAGACGGCTTCCTATTTTTAAAGCGGTATTTTTGTTTCGCCGCAAGAGAGATTAAGCGCGCGTTGAAAATATTGAAAAACCACAGTTTGTTTGGAAATTCGCATCTTCAGCAAGACCAAGGCTTGATGATGGTGTCCGTAAATGGATCAAAAGCGCAACTGAAGTTGTTGCAGTAACGTGCGACCGAAATCATAATCCTGTAAATGGCACTGAATTAATTTGTTCAGAAGCCTAATTAAAACCATTATTCGTGTGCGAGCAACACCCCTATGTTGATGGACACCACTGTGATTTAAGCACTTTTCATCACCAGTAGTGTACAATTAACGGTGGGCAGTAGGTGCCCTTTCTAATCACCCGCTTTGCACCAAATAGGCCATAAACTTACAGCATTTTGTGTGACTGACGCATACTGATATTCTTACGTTCATTCATGGCCCAAACGCGTAGAGAATAGATTAAGGCCTGTGTTTGTGACCAAATTTATCATTCGGTTGCATACCGAACTGAAAATTGGGAAAACAGGGCTCAACATTTGCACACAGCTTCCGGAGGAACGCGCTAAAATCACAGTAGGCTTCGGATTTCAGATTCTAGAAATATCCGCAATTTAAAAGAATCTACCTTTAGAACACTCGACTGTTGAAAAACGAACGTAGTCCAATCGGGGAGTAAATGCGGGCTTCATACGCAACACGCTCTCGATCACGCCACCCACAATAAAACCAAGAAAAGTATCGTTTAGCATCAAAGTTGGCGAACGTCGCGCGTCAAGCCCCAAATTAACGAAGTGCCATAAATATGTCGCTTAATGGCATTTGCACATCAGACATTCCTTCTCGTGTAGACCTCGTTATGGTGACCCGCGAATGGCGCGTGCCCCCTATTTACGCCAAGTTCAGTGTCGCCCGTCTGATTAGTTTTTTTTTCTCGCCTTACGCTGCTGAAAAATCCTCTCGATTGTCTGTCGATATGATGCAATCCGACTAATGCTTTAAATGGTAATGAGATATGCGGAACAAGTACGCGAACAGATGGAAAGTTGTAATCATAGTAAGGCGCATTCATGAATGACATTGTCGGATTCAGTGCGTAGGCGTGGTGGCGCATAGTAATCAGTAGCTGATTGGTTGATGTGACTCACTTAATCTAGTAGGCTTCAATTTAGTTGGTGCTGTCCGAAGGGTTCAAGAGGCAATTTGTYTGTTCCCTTGTTGCCTAGTAACGTATTCATCATTTTATCTCATTTCAACACGCATAATTGGAACATATTTTATTCAGCTAAATTTTTACAATTTCCTACTGCTAACTTATCTACGAGTCCTTAAATCTAACATCTTTAGTGTGTTTTACTCTACGTMCAGTTTACCCTCAATGCCTTAATCTACCTTATTCTACTTAAACCTAGCATAGGCACATACCCAAGGGCGGATCCAGGGGGGGTCATGACCGCCCCTGGGTGCTGGATTTATAACGACTAACGCTAATTTTTTTAGTTTCATAGACAACAAAGTACTGAATTACTCTGAAGTCAAAAGTAATAACTTGACATGACTGTATTAAACGTCAATTCTTCAGCTTAGTGTCTTCTCTGTCAAAATGGCTAAGTTGTTCACCTGATGCGCAATTATGTCCGATAAATCAGTAATGTTTTGGTGTTTTGCACGGGATTTCTGGTTGGGCAAAAAAACCACGCACGCTCCTGCTTCCGTCACAACATTACCTATTCAAAGGTAAGTACTTGTCGCCTATAAACGATATTTAACCCGGCGCTTGTAATGACGTAATGCGTCGCCAATTTATTGTATTCCATTGTGAATGGGAAATGAAAAGATCGCGGTTAGTCGGCATAAAAGTGCTTTTAGGTGCGGATGTGCCCGGCCGGAAAGATTATGGCCGGCATCAACAAGTCGTCGGTCGGATCGATTCGGGCCTTCGTCCAGGTTATTCTTTTTGATTGCCCGATCTTGTGTTTTGTCGCAATCGTTTATATTTTTTTAATTTAATAAACGTGATACTAAGGTATTTACCCCCGTTTTTATTATTGTATGAAACATTTTCGGGTTTTTTCAATCTTCGACTAGTGTGTATTTCCTATGCAGTTTGGCGTTTGTACGTCACCCATYAAGCACTGCCCTCAATTTGAAGTAACCCTCAATTGTTATTTGTTGACAGATGACGATGTACAGTTCGATTATTTATGACATTGACAACTTGTACGTTGTATGCAAGCTCAACGTTGCTTCCACAAATACTCTACGTCATAAAAGGGGGAATTTGAYAAAGCGGTTTTTGTGCGGGATACTTATCAAAACTTTAGTTTCAAATAATTTTTTTGTTTGTRTGGTTGCCKCAATTTGACTGAAACTTCCGKCAAGTAAAGAGTKGACTTTCTGGTTCAAGATGGTTAAACTTCCGGGTTTTGCGCCTTCTAGTTTAGACTGCAGTTTTTAGATCCCSCACAAAAAMCACTTTCAAACATGGTGCCAACCAAGAACTAAACGAAGAACAAATAGCGGGCTGCCGCATTAAASAAATAACAATTTTTGAGATAAAAAAATCAACATTCATGCTATACCTATAATGATAAAGACAGATATCCTGGGCAAAAGTTCCGTTTTTCTAAGAGTAAATATTACACCACCGTCWAAAAATRCCATTAAGTACGTTAAAGTATGTCATTTCATTCATAGCCTGCCATCAACTTTCGCTTCAACTTCCCAATAAAATGTGGAAGTTTCCGCGACTTGAAACCGATCGCGCGTGTCACCTTGTGCCGCTTTAAACTTTTTTCGCAAACTAGGTCAGACATCCCGCAAAGTTTAATCCCTCTAGAACTAAGCGATTAGCTCAGACTGTGTAGTTATTGTTTACAAACCGGCGTCTGTCGAGTCCGGACGAATTCGGCATTCATTCCTTAACCGCATTTCAGGGCCTGAAAACTTCCATATAATGCGATGTCGTGAAGGAGTTTTATCGGGATCGCGTCAGGTCCCTGACCCAAATAGAAACGTCACCGACACACACACACACACACACACATCCTTGCATATATGAATTGAGAAAATATCTGTGTACGAGACGTCGTTCGTCTGTCTATTACGTAGCGCGGATGTAATCTATCGATCCTTTTTTTCTTCTCCCGGATGAAAAGTGAAAAGGTTCAGGGCCATTTTCGCTGATCGATCCTTGTCCTAGGCCTGACCAGTTGCTTGTTATATGCACTTATTGCCGGTAATACGCAAATATTTATGTTTGCTCAATCGATAGTTGCCTGAGCCTGCCGACTGCGCTGGCTCTCCTAGCCGTCGCTCTCCTGCACGAGAACAAGTGGCTAATTAATAATTACCTCCTTTATCTAAATGGTTTCATTATCTGCATAGTGAATTTTTACTACGATGTTTACTCACACGAAAGCGTGCGTAACATTCCGATCTTTAACTAATTACCATAACAAGTGATTTTTATTAGTCATTAATTATCTTTCGCCCCGAATGAACGAATGAATGAATGAATGAAACGGAACGAATCGATAAATTGATGTCGGCTCGGGCATCGTTTTATATCTTCATCAGGAGCTTTCTATCGATTGCCATTACCTCAAACGATCTCTTATAAGTGATTTGTTTCGTGACTGATAGATAAATGATGTTGGCATCCTTGTCGCTGATACATTTCGGAATGTAGTTTACGATTCAAGACGTCGTTAGAAGTCCTCCACCCCACCATTTATGAATGGGAAAGAGTTTACTCTCGATTTCGAGCGTCAATATTTATGGCGCCTACATTACTAGCGGAATTTCGCATAAAAACGTGCGTACATAAAATGCACCTCTGCTCGAGTTCTGTCGCCCGAGGTCTCTGCATCTCGTTTCCGTATATGCATTTTCGTTTGCTTACTACGGTTTCAATGCCTCGTTCTCGATTCCAACCGAAAATAACGCCCGGAATTTTATTATCTCGAGCCATTTGGACTCACTCAGTCAACAACGCAACCCTATAGTTCCCGAGTAATTTTTGTGGCAACGTCTCGATTTGTAGTATAACCGATCGTTCAAAAAATTTCGGTTAGCAGGTACCTATCTCCGGGCGGCTTCATCTCGGTGTGTCGAGTGTTGGCACAGTGTCGTACCATTGCAAAACTTTCATTTAAGTAATGGTTGTTTTTGACTTTCCAAATGTTTTTTTTTCTTGGGCATTCTGTCTAGCAGGGATAAGATGAAGAGAAGTCGTCTTAGCGTAGGACTATGGCATGTTGACACATTGTCGCAAACACTCTCTTGGTTTATGCCTGCTCTTG